TTAATTTATTTTAATTGTTTGTGCTCGTTGAACAAGATGTTTGTTGATGCAAGCGTAGTACAAAGATTACAATGTTAACAACAACAAAATGTTAGCGTTGCTAATTTGTTGACAATTACAAGTTGAAACAACATAATAAATAAATCAGTCTAATAATTACGCGAGGGTAACAGGAGTAGGAGTCGGAAAAGATGGAAGGTTTAGATAAGAACGACAATTAAAGCCACCGAATCAGGCGAAAATATGTAAAAAAAACAATTGTTAGACGCGAACATTTCCATCTGTTCTAGAATCTTTCTTCAGAACACGTACTTTTTTTTCTCAAAAAGTTAGTTCAAAGGAGAGAGGGCACCGAACATCTGATAAACTGATTGTTGTTTTTTTTTTTTTTTTTTAAGTTAGATTGACGCGAGTTCAAATCTTATGATTGGGTGTCTAAATTTTTTATGAGACATTCAAGCAATAAATAAATATAAACATTCCAGCAATAAATAAATATAAAAAAATCTCTATGGTAGACCAGAAGGTTTGAAAAAACTAGTGATTTTGCTAATCTGCATTGTTTGCGAAATTGCCATATTGATAAGACATGTAGTTTGAGAGTTCTGGGTAGAGACTCCATCTCTTGAACAATACCTTTTGGGCAGCTAATTTATTGAGGAAGTTCCATTTATTGTTTGTCTGTTTCTACAGCTGTTTATTATTTTTAATTCCGTAGGTATTTATTCATTTTAGCTTACTGTAGCAAAAGTCCGCGGAATTTAGCGAAGATCAAATTCATTACACAGTTGTAATTATTCCTTGGCGAAGTAAAAGATATCGAGTTTAGCACTATTTCGCACAAGGTCATAAATAATGTGGATTGAATTCACTACAGTCTAGATTAGTTTTGTAGATTAGCCTATATATACACGCGCACATACACACACACATATATATATAAGGCGTATTAAATTCATCCAAACAAGTTTGAAATAGAACAGACATGGTCCGCCTGTATTTTTTTCAGAAGAAATAATTGTATATCCCTTGTTTCCTGTTCAGGATTGAGTTTCCTGTACCTTCTAAAGTCTTCTTCAGCTCTATACTCCTTATGCTCGTCGTTTGTAAGCTAATATAAGTTCGCACAGTAACTATCTACTTTGAGAGTCTCTTGAGCCTTGTATTGGGTGAACACGAGTGAAATTTTTTTTCTTCTAATTTTCGAATTGGGTGCAGTGTATCGAGATCGAAATATATATATATATATATATATATAATCAGTGTGTGTGTGTGTGCATGTGTGTGTGTGTGCATGTATGTGTGTGCTTGGATCTTATCAAGTTTTAATATCTGAGTAACAAATTTCAGAAGTTATTAGAGGTGGGGGGCGCATAACGTTGCTTACTCACTTAAATTCTTCTCCAAACCAATGTTTTATGATATCTTCGGCAAGATATTTAAGTAAGATTTAGTATATACATGCTTTTCTAGCAGGATGGAAATATAATTCATTTCGTGTTCACACGATAACATTTCATTAGAAACAAAGAAAAGAGTGCTGAATTGCTATTTCATATCTATCCTTTTATATGGCAGTGAATGCTTGACAATCTCTCCACGGATGAGGAAAAAGCTAGAGGCAGTAGAAACATGCTTATTCAGAGGGATATTGAAAATGTTGCGATTAAGCAACAAGGAAATCTTAAATTAAACGGTAACAAAAAGAACACTTCTACTCAGAATCAGAAAAAGACAGCTGAAATTCCTTCGACACATAATGAGGAAGGAGGGCTTGGAAAACTTAACACTCACGGAACATATTGGGAGCAAAAGAGATAGAGAAAGGCAGCGAGCTACTTACCAGACAAGTGTGTGTGAATGGATGGTAGAACGGAGGTGGGTGAACCTTAGCAAAGAGAGGAAAACTACTAAGAGCCACACGAGATAGGAAGTTGTGGAGAGCTTCACACGCCTATGCTATAAAGGAACGCGGCACATAGACGAAGACGTTTTTATCTATTCTATTGTACCGATACTGATCACACGTTCCTCATAAATATAGCAGATTAAACAAAAGTATATATATATATATATATATATATATATATATATATATATATATATATATATATATATATGTTTTGTTTAATAAAATATTTATATATATATATTATATATGTTTTGAACAATAAAATATTTATATATATATATATATATATATATATATATATATATATATATATGTGTGCGTGTTTTTGAACAATAAAAAATATTAAAAAATTAAAATCTTCAGACACACTAGGTTGTATATTAATATTCTTTCGTTTTTATTATTTCAATTAGATTCCTCGACTAGTTTCAGCCATCATCAGAAGAAAGAAAATTTTCTGCTTGTCAGTAGCAGTAAACTACAGAAATGAATGACTTGATGGAGAAAATGAACTTTATCTGTTGTTTTCTTTTTTTTTTATCATGAATTTTGGTCAGTTCTTGTGTTGGTCAAACCGTCTCTTTTAAGTTGTCATTTAAGATAAGAGCTGGATGGATTCATTGATCAAAAGTTGAGATCAAATATAGAACAAAAATTGATCGGGATCCGACAGAATGAAAAGATAAAGAACAAATAGGAAACGTTTAGCAATCTATCATGTTTCAGTTTTATTAAACTTCATCAGAAAATGAGATATGACGTAAAAGAACAAATAAATTCTGGCATATGTGTTGTTTGATTTTTATTGGTTCATCAGGTTTCACGTGCATTTGACGTGTTAAATTAACGTTAGTATAATTTGTGGCGTTCCGAATTCAAGGAGAGACGGCGCGTCCATTCGAAGTTTCAAGAAATCAACGAATTTTAAGTATTTGAAAGGATCTGCCAGTCATTGATCCGACGGATGCATACGTGTATAGAAGCAAGTGGAGGAAATATTGAACATTTGTTATTAGCTACTGTTTTGAGGTACAACGATGGCCTTTTGGACATATGTTTATATTGACATTTTTCCTTGTTTTTGTGTAAGGAACCCGCCCCAAAGTTTGTTGAAGTATTTTTGATATATACTGTATAATAAATTTAGTCTCTGTAAGTGGGATTCAGATGATAATGTATATTCGTAAGTGTGAGTGCATGTGTGTGTGTCTAGTAGACATTATATTTGTTGGTTTTTCGCATATTGATTTGGGAACGTTTTCTTTATCTTATCTATATATATATATATATATATATATATATATATATATATATATATTGCATTATTCGGTCATCAAAATATAACTACTTCCTTTCAAATAAATTTTATATTTCATCACAAAAGAAAAACCCTGGTTTTCATTCGATTAATTTTTCTTCAGGGTAATATTTGATATTTTGAAAATGTTTGAATCGCTGACCAAACAGGAAGTATTGCATTGAGTGAAATATTTTGTTTGAAATAATATTCAGCAAATAGAAGAATTTCCAATACCAGCTCCATGATTGCTTACATCTCATTTGTAGTATGAGGATGGATGGTATCAAGTAGCAAAATAATTTTTTAAGTTCTTAGTTTGGAGACGCATTTTTTCTCTTCCAATGTGCAATTAAAAACAAAAAAAACTAGTTGGTCACTATGTTGATATTGTAGTTCGTTATACAGAATTCCACTAAACAGAAAGAATTTTTTCTCAGTAATTCCACTTTAGTTCGAGATGCTGAAGACTATCCTGTATTTAACCCTAATCCTCATGGTATCACCAGTGATTATCTTGGCCCCAAAATGATTTTTTTACCTTTGTCAGCAAAGAAGGGAAACCGAAATGTTTAAAACCTGACGAATGTACTTTTCCGTATGATCACGTAGAATCTATATTCTAAGTCTCTGAAGACGTGTAAATGACACACTACAGTTAACTAATTGCATAAGCAATAAAGAACTAAGTCGATTTCAAAAACTTTTTTTTTATGAAAAACGATTTTAACTTTACGCTACTAAAAATCTTAATTTACACTTGTAAATGTGGATTTTCATGGAGAAGAAACTAAATCTTATGGTCAGTGTTGGGGTAATTGTTTTAATAAATAGGTTGAGTCAGTTTTATCCCAACGCGAACAGACACGAATGATGAAGACTTGGAAAACTGATCTGGTTTGCAAAGTATAAATTTTGATTGCAGCCGCTTTTGCATCATTACTAATGACGAAGACATGTACCAAAATCTTCCTTTTTTTCTCGTCATTGGTTTTGTCACTCAAACGTCACGAAGATAGATTGATGGAGCTTCTAATTTTAGAATTATTTCAATGTTTCTTTTTAAGCAAAATAAATCACTTTCTGCGTGTTATAAAAAGAGCAATTTTGGGGCAACTGCTCACTATAAATTTTCATTGTGTAGTTTAAGTCTCCAATAATCAATTTCCTATCTATGAGTGCAACTTTTAAATCCGTGAACAAAGCAATTAAATCGTTGAGCTTTGTGGATGTTGCGTGGACACCGGTAAAAAGACATATATTCTCGGTTGTGTCGCAGAATAAATTCATAAAAAAAAATAAAATAAATCCAGTACGAACACTTGACCCGCACATATCTTAAGCCTCAGTTTGTTCAATTACAATTTAGTCGTACTATCCGATTAATTTATTTGAACTGAACATTATTATTATTAATAATAATAACAATAATAATAATAATACTTTGATGTCAAAATATATTTTCATACATGGAAATGATAATTTCTTTCTTTTTTTTTTTAAATCTCTACTTTTTAATTTACTCCGCCAATTTTATGTTATCTTTTCGATACGGGAACCGCAGGGAAAAGAGCGATTGACTACTGCAGACGACACGACTGTTGCTGTTGCACAGTCGTCGTTGATGTTTCGGTAACCCTTGAATTTATTTGTTTTTGTCTTTTTTTTTTTACTTGCAGTTCTTTACATCTTTTTACCCCCTTTTATTTTCCTTTCGCTTTCTTTTTTTACAGTTTCTGTGGGCGTTACTGAAAAGAACAAAGGCACCCCATCCGTTATAGAGTGAAAGAGTCAATTAAAATTCTTATCCTTTAGCCCGTTGAAATCAAACACAAACAGTACGAATGCAAATTTGCGTTTGAGATTAAAAGTCGATCGCCAAGAGCGTAAAGAGCAAAGAAAGAAAGAAAGAAAGAAAGAAAGAAAGAAAGAAAGAAAGAAAGAAAGAAAGAAAGAAAGAAAGAAAGAAAGAGGAAAAAATAAAAAAGAAAGAAAGAAAGAAAAAGAAAGAAAGAACGAGAAAGAGGAAAAAATAAAAAAGAAAGAAAGAAAGAAAAAGAAAGAAAGAACGAGAAAGAGGAAAAAATAAAAAAGAAAGAAAGAAAGAAAGAGAGAAAGAAAGAAAAAAAGAAAGAAAATGTTGGAAATGCAGAAGGAGAAACGAGAGGAGGTTTTACACGATGTGCGTATTATTTTATTATTATTGGCTTCTGTCGAGGTTGGCTATGGGTGTAACAGATTTTTGCTGTTACCATCTCAAGTGTTAAGCTAATTTTGAAGGAGTGGTATACTCAAGTACTAATTCGTCCAATCTCTTTTTCATCAAACCTAACGAGATATTTCTCTTAAGAATCCAGAGAAAAGTTGCATGCATTCCCTCGGGATATAAACCTTCTTCTATGTGCTGTGTCCCTTCAGGGCGTGGGTGATCATGGCTCTCCACAATTTCCCGTCCTTTGTAACTCTTAGTAATTTTTTTCTTTTTACTATGTCTTCTAATCACTGTTCTGTCAACAGTTTAAAAAACGCTTGTTATGCACTGTTTCTCTCTCTCCTTCTTTACTTCAATATGTTCTGTGAGATTTAAAGTTTCGAAGCCCTCTTTCAGCATGTGCCCTAGAAATTTCGACTGTATGTGTCTGATGTAAGCATAAGTGTCTTTAGTTTTCATTTTCGCCAAAACTTCACCATTGTTCACATGCTCAGTCTATGGAATTCACAGCATGTTTCTGTAGAAGCGTATTCCTGTTGCCTCAAGTCACTTCTTCATCTGTGTGTTGATTGTCTAGTATTCACTGCCATATGGGAGGACCAATATTACATAACATTTTAGTACTCTTTTTTTTCTAACGAGATTTTCTTATTTCTTAATATTTTGGAAGGCATCTTTTGCATCTCACCACTTTTTCGTCATATATTAAGACATTCCCTAGATATTTAAATTTTTATACTGGTTTGATTTTGGCATCTCCAATTTGTAATTCGCATATTGGGCTCTTCTTTTTGCTGACAACCATATATTCTGTCTTCTTACAATTGATGCTTATTCCTTTCTTCTCCCTTTCCTTTACTACATTCTGTAGGAGTTCCTGTATTTTTCTTTTGGTATCATCTGTATATACAAAATGAATATAAACAACCTAAGTGGAAATTCATTTGAAGCAATCCTTTACCTTCCCAATGCTCTGGCAACGGATTAGACTAGTAGGGTCTAAATGTTTCTTGCTATGACACACTAACTATACAAATTCAAAAATGTATTTAAGGTAAATGTATTTACATAGTTTGGCTGATAAAATATAATTTAAATTGTTGCACATTATCGGCAATTACTTTTGTATTCAGGAGGAATTTACGCTATTACCTGTAAAAATTGCCTCAAGGAATATATTGGACAAACTTCAAGGAATTTAAATACAAGATTAAACAAAAGGGGTCTTTTACAAAGCAACCTATTGAATAGATTAGTTACTCACTGTAGCGAGACTGACCACAATTTTGATATAAAAATGCTATTTTAATTAAAAGGGAAAACAATTCACTAATACGAAAATGCTTAGAAAGTGCTTTAATCGCTAAATCATTCACAGTAAATTTGCATTTACAGTAAATTTCACCATTCTTGACAGATCTTCTCTTATCAAAATGTGGGATAATTAATAACAAAAGTGACGGAAATACAAACAGAAAGAAAAAAATCTAAATGAAATCGGCTAGATTTTATACCAAATAGGAATTTATATATATATATATATATATATATATATATATATATATATATATATATATATATATATCTCATCTTTAAATTTAAAATTTTAGTTTAAAATATTGCGGAAAAGCAGTTTTAACACGAAGTTAGATATTTTTATTAGATGTTGATAACTATCTTGATAGACATACGTTTGGAATTTTTTTACACGAGGGACATATCTGCAAAACTTATTTTACGAATATGACGTGAGCACCTTTTTATAAATTTTTTTTAAGTTCTCGGTAATTTTGAAAATTTAGGAAAATATTCTCTGTAATCTAATGTTTTACTGAATTTTATGTACATTGGCTTTAAATTTACTATAATTACCGCTCTTATTTTCTGATAATGTCGTGTATAGACGTCCGTATTTACGAAAATCGGCACGTTTATACCTACAGTATAAAAATTCTTTTTAGAATGCTGGGGGGTGGGGCGCTGGATTATAGTAAGCCTTTTCATTTATGATTAGTAAATATAGCTTTTACTTAATAAATACCCGCTACAAAAAATACAGAATTTTAAAGATTTCAAACTTTATAAATTATTTTAATTATTTTTTTAAATGAAAAAATTGTACAAATTCGTTATTCCTCGGGAAAAAAAAAACAAAGTTTCTTAAGACAATAGTGTCCATAATATATCTTATTCATAAAAGCAATCAAAAACATTTCCTATTGAAGAATGGCTTAGTTTTATTGCATTTTTTATTTTACGATCCAGAGCAAATTTTCGGTAGGTGGAGGTACTGTTTTGCAAAAAAAAAAAAAAAAACTGATGATTTAAAATCTCCAAGGACTTTTGCTAACTAATGTTAATATTAAGTCCTAAAAATGAATTTCTCGAAATTTTATAAAATTAAATAAGTAGAGATAACAGATGTAAAAAAAAAAAAACATTTACGAAGATTTTCTGAAAAAGAAACCACTTCTAAAATAAATTCATTCATTTTTGAATAAGTCAATTAAAATTTGGCAATTATTTGATTTTTGGAAGAATTTCCGAATCAATGTGTTTTTTCACCGCAAAATGACGCTGCAATTTCCTATACTAATTTATGGTCACCCGCTGATGCAAGAAAAAAAATTGAACCAAAATTTTGTTGACTCTAACAAGGATTAAAAATATAATTTAATAATCAAAAATCCTTTGGTCTTTCTTCTTAATAATAACAAAGATTTTGAAGATAAAATTTGTTTATAAGTTTTTTTGTTTTTTAATGTATACCTATTTTTAGTGAATTTTTGGAATGTATAATACCCATATATAATAGCCTTCTTCTGTCAGTAACACTTGCATTAATTTCTGACTACTTATGATCACTTTTCCCCTTAATTTTGTACTATAATAAAAAATATTTGCAATGCTCATAAGCTCATTAGCAGTGTATTTAAAAGTATACTTATAATAGCCTTTTCTGCCAATAAAGCTTGCAATTATTTTTTACTATTGGCAACTCCTTTCTGTCCGATTTCTATAGTAAAATATTCTACCACCCATTTTATAGTAAAAATTATTCCCAATACTTTTATATGGTAAACTAATTAACAATTAATTTACTACATATGTATGTGTATGTGTGCGCGCACTTTTCACTGCACAACGTACAGACTGAATATTGAAAGTTTTACAAATAAATTTTAGATATAAAAATAAAACTGCGAATTTAGATGCTTAAATCATCAAATTTAATTTTTAATAGTTAAAGTTACTCTGGTGGTATTTATTTATAGTGAACAGCCTTCATCGGCATGACAAATTTGAAAATGGTTCAGAACTTCACCTACCTCGGCAGCGCCATATCCTCCAACACCAGATTGTACAGAAAAATAGGCAAAAGCTGGCTAAAGCTAATCAAGCCTCTGATAGTCTACAAAAACATGTCACAACAAAATTATCAGAAACGACACGAACCAGAGTCTACAGATCCACCGAGTTGCCCACTTTTCTACATGGCGTAGAATCTTGGGTCACATACCAGCGTCAACTATGTCTACGCGATCGTTTCCACCAACGTTGCCTTTGCGCCATTCTTTATGTCCACTGAAGCGAGTTCATCAAGTTCATCAAGTTCTCAAGTTAGCCATGGCAGCAAACATTAAAGTTAGGCTACAGAACCCTGAACTGTGAAAGTCAAGATCGCAAGACGAGGATAGAGAGGATCATTTTCCAATAATCTTGCTTGGAGTACTCTTATCCGGTTGACGGATTAGAAGGGCTTACTACGGAAAGAGATACAAATTACCCTTAAAAAAACCTTTATCTTTTGTGGGTTCAATTAGAGTCAGGAGAAACCGACGCAGTCGACAAAATGATATGAAAATATCGGATCTATCAGGCAATCTCCAACACAGAAAAAGAGCAGAAAAGGGAGCTCCAAAAAACGTGTTCCTTTTCCATGAAGTCGCTGTAGAAATGTGTACTTTTCCCGCATAAGCCTAACTCACCACCTGCAAACGTTTAACAGTCGGGTTCAACTCAACAATTTTTGAAGCTTTTAGTAATTGTTGTGTCAATTTTGATAAATTATTAAAGAAAATCAGTTTTTAAATATTTGCTTACAAGGTATATCTATAATAAAGTATTTTCTATAGTAAGTAATTTGTAAAGATATTCCCTACTAAAATAATTTCCCATTAATTTTCATATACGTTCTAAGTAATTGCTCTGTGACCCGATAATTATTAGAATAAATGAAAGTTTTGACATTTGTTTAACCCTATTCATTGTACCAAAGATTACATAAACAGCTACAAATAATAATTATCAATAATAGATTTATATCCAAGGTCGGTCAACGAAAAATGTGTATGCGTTTTAGAATTATATATTTTTATAAGTTTTAAATACATTTCTTGCAGCCGATGTGTAAACTCAGCCCACATACACATAAATGTTCTTACATTTTCTTATATTTGAAGTCATATTTTAGGGGTAACGAATTCAGGTAAACTGATGAAGAGCATTGGCCACTTTCGTGTTAAATATCTACAAAGTTACCAATAAAGTGAATATGAAAACAGACAGAGGAGTTGGAATCGAAACATATATTTTCATTTTATTGCTTTAAACTGTATCCTTCTTCAATGTACCGTACCCCTTCAGGACATGGATGCTAATGGCTTTACACAACGTAAAAGGCAAAGAAAGGTAAGAAAGAAGAGAAAATAAATATAAGAAACAAAGAAAGAAAGAAAGAAAGAAAAATGAAAGAAAGAAAGAAAGAAAAATGAAAGAAAGAAAGAAAGAAAGAAAGAAAAATGAAAGAAAGAAAGAAAAATGAAAGAAAAAGAAAGAAAGAAAGAAAGAAAGAAAGAAAACGCTAGGAATGGAGAAGGAGAAATAAGAGGAGGTAGTACGCGATGAACGTATTATTTTTATTATTATTGATTTCTGTCGAGCTTGAATATGGGAGTAACAGATTTTCTCTGCTACCATCTCGGGTAGTAAGCTAATCTTGAAAGAGTGAATTGCCGAATTGCTAGTTCGTTCAGATATTTTTTCAAGATGTCTGACGATATGACAGAGTCCAGAGAAAAAAATGATTAATGCATTTCCCTCAGGATATAAATTTTCTTCTATGTGCCGTGTCCCTTCAAGATGTGGGCGATCATGGTCCTCTGAAGCTCTTAGTAAGTTCTGTCTTTTCGCTATCCCTCCCATTCCCTCTTCTGTCATCTATTTATACAAGCTTGTTAGGTATGTTGTTTGCTACTTTCTCCTGTCTTTCCTTGCTTCAGTGTGTTCAGTGAATGTTAAATACCCCAAGCCATCTTTCCCCATTGTGTACCCTAGAAATTTAAATATATCTTTCTGATTCTAAGTAGAAGTGTCTTCTTTGTTTCCATCCTCCTTAAAACCTCCTCGGTCCCCACATATTCAGTTCATGTTATTCTCAATATCCTTCTGTAGAACTAGATTTGTGTTGCTTCAACTCTCTTTATCTGTGAGGAGATTGTTCAAAATTCACTGTCAAAGAGGACGACTGATATTACATAACAGTTTAGTACACTTTTCTTAATTTCTAATGAAATCTTTTTGTTCCTTAAAAGTTTCCTGAGTTTTGGGAAAGCATAGTTCACTTTTCCAATGCAACTTCGGATTTCGGTGTCACATTTTCTGTGTCCACTGTTAAAACACTTTCAAGATATTTAAATTTTTGTACTTGCTTGATTTTGGTATGTCATATTTGTAGTTCGCACATTGAGTTGTTCCTTTTGCTGCGATCCATATATTTTGTTTTATTACAATTGACGTTTAGTCTTTTCTTCGCGCTTTCCTTTACTACTTTCTCTGGAAAAACCTTCCTTTTCCTTTTTGTATCTGCTATCAATACTGTGTCCTGTGCATATGATATGATAAATACTGGTTGAACTAGTTCTGTCAGAATCGCCTCAATGTGAATGTTGAATGAGTAGGATAAAAAGACACATCCTTGTCTTACAACCCTTTCTGTTTTTATATATTCACTAAATTCATTTTCTATCCGTCTTCAGGCGGTTTGCTCCCTATATAAGTTGTGTAATATTCTAATATCTTTCCCAAATAAATCTAGCTTACCTAGCAGATCAAGCATATTTTTTGTCGTATACACTATCCTGAAAACTTTAGGAACATCTGTTGGTTTGTACCAATTTTGCTGTGAGAAGATTGACTTGCATAATAAAATACGTTATTGTAAAAACCGTCAACTGTTTTATTATGAATATATACTGAATGCAAAGAGGGTCTAGGTGTCAAAAACGACTCTTAATGTTATAGCTTGTCCAGAGTAATTTTGTAACAACATTTTCCTTGTTTTTACACAGTTTTCTTTATGGCAAAATATCCATATCAGGGCTGGTGCAAGGATTCCATTCCTCCCATCTATGATATCGCCCCCACCCAATCTATTAAAACTAAATTTTCATAAGATATTATGCATACAAAATACAAATTTCTTTGTAACTTCATTATGTATAATAATGGATCATATGCAATATAGGGGGAAATTCAACTAGAAAAATTGAAAATAAATACAATGTATCTAAATACAAATTAGAGACATGTTATAATAGATCATTCCATCTAAAATAAATCAACAATGCTTTGTGGCAATTTTTAACATCAGCTTTTAACATCAAGATTTTTTTTTGTTAAAATGTTGAATAATTTAGCACATTCAACAATGTGGATAAAAAACAACAGTGTTTAGCATGAACAAAAGAAATTCACAGATTTATTTCGGATTCGCGAAATTTCTTCATCCTTTAATAGCCAGTTGTCCTTAGCTTAATTTGTAATGTATATAAGTGTAGGTAGCAAAAAAAAAAAAAAATGTTGATAATATAGTGAGGATCACAAAGCACTGTCGGGGCCAGCAATCAGGCTCCCCACCTCCCCATTTGAGGTTTCGGGAATAGTACGCGCCGGCCCTGATCCATATATATATATATATATATATATATATATATATATATATATATTAAAAAATAAGGTACTTCAACAATAAGTGGTAGAGGTGTCGAAGACCACAGTTGTCAATTCTCATCAATAACAGATAATTTTCAATGATTAAAAGAAAATTGCGAGCCATTTATAAGCGTAGCTTATTATGGCGTAAGGGTCACCCTTACCCGACAATGGGATGCAAAATTTAACTTTAATATACATAACCGCTGATCGTTCTGTTAAAAAAATAATATCGCCATACGTAATACGTAATAAATACATGAAATCTGAAACAAAATCATTAGTATAAATTACAAAGATTACTATAACGTCTTATAACATTATATATGAAGGAAAATCTCGACAAATATAGCATTTCACTTCTTTTACCTCTATTTTTTATTTTCTTTATTTCTACATAATTATATGTAAATGTTGACCTTGTGTTAAATTCAGGAGCGACGTGGCGCACTGAAATATCCAAATAATATGTAAATGTTGGATGTGTGGTTAGTGTATTGGGTATCGGCGGCAGGAAGTGGAATCGGCGAACCAAATTCAAATTCAGGGATATTTCGGGATGTTTCGCTTACTTGGTAAAGGTGTTAACACAATGATTTAGCCAATACATTCTTCTACATGTTTGTAATCACTGAAACTAAAAGGTCTCTTTTTTTCACTAAATTTCAAAAAAAGATGAATAGAAAAAAAATGTGTGAAATATCAAATCATCGCAAAAGTTCTTGCCTGATTTTTTGATTGTTAATATAAAATGATCGCAGCTTGACATTGGCGTTTGTTTTGGTACCGGTTTCTAGTGTGTTCTAGATTGAAAGCTCGCAGTGTTCAGCTGCGAATCAGACTTTGTTGAATGTTAACGTTTTATCCATGAATAGATGCCTTAAAGATGGAGGATGAAAAGTTGCACTTTCTCCATATCATGCTCTATGAATTTCGGAAAGGAGTAAGTATTGGAACTGCAACTAAAAAAAAAAAACATTTAGAAGGTTTATTTGGATCGTGCTTCAACTCTTTGGACGGTTAAAAAGTGGTTTGACAGATTTCGTCAGTATAATTTGAACCTAAACGATCAATCACGTTCCGGGCGACCTTCCGACGTTGAAGACGCTCTGCTTGCCATCATTGAGAATAAACGGAAGATTTCGACGGGAGAGATTGATAAGAGTTTGAAAATCGATATCTTGGCTGTCTTTTGCCATTTGAAGAGACTTGGGTTCAAGAAAAACAGTTGATTTTGGCAAATCGAAAAGGTATAATTTTCCTTCGCCACAACGTAAGACCACATGTTGCAAAACAAAATTTACAGAAGCTTAAAGAGGTGAAACGGGAAACTTCCAGCATCCACCGTATTCTCTTGATTTGGCTCCTTCTGATTTTCATTTGTTCCGATCTCTGCTGAATAATTTAAATGACAAACAAATTTGACTCTGTACAGTCAATTGAAAACTATCTCACAACATTCTTCCAACAAATAAAAAAATCCCCCGCCAATAAAAAACCCAACAAACGAAGTTTCTACAAAAATGGCATCAAAGAGCTTGTAGAATGATGGGAGACAGTTATTAAAAACAATGGAAATGATGACTCATAATTTTTTTTTTTGTGTGAATATGTAAAATTTCATTTTTAATTTTCTCATCAGGCACGAACTTTTGCAATGATCTGGTAATAAAACATTTACATTTCATAACCTTACATTGTTAAAAGCATTCTGATAAAACGCAAAGAAAATATAAAATTTTTAGTAAGAAATATATTGAATAAAGAAAATATTTTAAAACCTCGAACAGCTTAAAAAACTATACTGCTTAAAATGCAATATAAATATGATGATACATATCAAAGAATGTATAAATAAAATTATTTCTCAGAAGCTTAAAGTGAAATTATTGTTTATTTCTACAAAATAATTTGTAAATGTTGACCTTGTGTCACATTCAACGGCCAGGTGGGCACACAGAAAAACACAAATAATATGTAAATATTGGATGTGTGGTTAGTGTAAGGGATATCAGCGGCGGAAAGTGGAATCGACGAACCAAATTAAAATTCTGGGATAGCTTGTTTCGCTTACTTGGGAAAGGCATGGATCTTTCTCTTTTCTTAATGTCTATGAGTTAAGTAGCGGAGTAAACTTGGCTCTCTAGCCTTGAGTAATTATCAGTTTAAAAGGAGAACTGTAAATTCCAAACCGTTGAGAAAGCAATAAGAAAATACTAATCTTTTCCAAGAATGCGTGGCAATCAACAGATAACAAAGAAAACGTTTGCTCTCCTATATCCTGAGTGGATATGACATATATATATATATATATATATATATATATATATATATATATATATATATATATACATATATATATATATATATATATATATATATATATATATATATATACATATATATATAAATGTGTGTGTGTGTGTATAATCCAGGCTAATCATATTAACAAAACAGAATTTGAAATATATTAATACTGACTCACAAAAAAATCGGTCAAAAAGAGTATATATATTAGTAATATATATACATATATATATATATATATATATATATATATATATATATATATATATATATATATATAATAATAATAATATATAATACTATAATAATAATACTATAATATATATATATATAAATATATATACATATATATATATATATATATATATATATATATATAAATATACATACATATATATATATATATATATAAAATAAATATATATACATATATATATATATATATACATACATATATACATACACATATATATATATATATATAAATATACATACATATATACATACATATATATATATATATAAATATACATACATCAGATCATTGCAAGATACGTATCAAAGAGTATGTGAATAAAATTATTTACTGTCAGAAGCTTAAACTAAAAAATTATTGTTTATAGTCTTCAATCTTTTTTAATGCTTTTACTTAATTTCTATTGTTTTTATCCTTTTGTATTTTTTCTTGGTATTTGTCATCTATTTTCTTTTTCAATTACTTCTTTTCTATCATCATCTTCATTATCCTCATCTTTAGATTTTCTTCGTTTTCTTTGTTCGGACTTTTTCCCTTCCTTTCTTATATTCTTAATTTCTTCTTCTTTCCTTCATTCATTCATTCATGAAAAAAAAAATCAAAATATGTTAATCTCTATAATTCTGAATTATATCTTTTTTTCTCTCAACTTCCGTTTTGCTTTATATTCCTCCGAGACCTAGATAGTTTTCTCGCAATTTCCATTTAACCAATTTCCTCACAACTTCCTGTGTTCATCGGTTTTTCTAAGAAGTCATATGCGTTTACAATCCCAGAATATAAAATCCTTTGTTGAAACGCTTTGTGTGCAGTGAGAGACAATACGTTTTCAATATGTAAATAGAAGAATTAAATTGTTGATTTGAGACCTCTATCACGTATAAGCGCGAGCACACGCACGCACACATATTAGGGTGAACCAGTAACTTTGTAACCTTTTAAGTAGTTATTGGCTTAATTTTGATATGAACTTTTTATTGTCTAATGTTCGAGCTATATGATTTATTTTCCTCCCTTGATACATTGATAACGAAGGAATCTCTACTGCAAAATAATTGCTGTGTAATGTGTTTTCTTTCCCCATTAAACTACTCACTTAAGTGGTGTACGTATATATGCACGATTACATATGTGTCTATGCATACGCACATTTTATATATTTACGTTGGGTGTGTGTGATACTAAAATAAAGGGGTGCATGTCACTTTTGTTGATATAAGAAAGACATGATATTTTGCTTCCCACCGAAGTTCTTCAGTGTGATTATTCAACTGTATGAGTCGCAGCTCAGCCGAGTGACAATTGTTAAGCAATCTCTCAAAACCTTTTCCAATAGCAAGCAGCGTGAAAAAAGGCTGTGCTCTTAAAACAGGCCTCAAATAAGATGGATGAAAATGAAAACCTCTACACCCGCACACGTTCAAGTGGAAGCATGCTCAATCTGAAGCGAATCATGTCCACAATAAAGCTACAAAAAAGCTGACTGGGGGTAATTCTGTTCGCATACGACGCAGTTCGGGTTACCCACAAAGACCCAGCACTAGAAGTAGTAACGTTCTACTGTGCAAAGGCCTCGGGCCTCATCAGCTTATCAATATATCTAAAGAAAACAGTCAACCTCCTGCACCCCATCATGACTAAGTTAGACTTTTTGGGTCTCTTTTGGCCAAATAAAGATGTGAGTTGGAAGAAAACCAGCAGAGATGAATACGGAGAAGTTTTCTTATATATTGTTTTCTTATTTTATTTTTGTTTATTCCGTACTTGACTTTATATAAGTGTATTTATTTTTGAATGGGTAAATGTATATTTTGACTTGCAATTATCTTATGCTAGCCTAAACTGTTTGACCAAAATTTGGGCTTATTTGTATGTATATCTCGCCAGATTTCTTGTACATTGTCTCTTTGCACACACAAAAAATTCAAATAATGTTAATTCCCTGCACGATTTTATTTTGATAGAGGATCTTTGAACTTATACTAAATTTAAACTTAATAGATAATATCATACTATCAGTTCTAACTAACTCTACCCTTAACGCATTTAATTGGAACTAATCGCCGTAATCAGAATCCCTTCTTGAGTCAATCCCGTCTCTTCTACTTCTAGCGTCTCCGCAAGTACTCCGAACATTTATCCACTAATTATTATTTTTCTCTTTACCAATGGCTGTGCGTAGGTTTGCCTATCGCCCGGTTCGCACTCTTTCCTGGTTCAAATCTTTACTTCTAGAACTGAACTCGAAAATCTTATTCACTATTTATTTTTCTTCTTCCTTCTCTCCCAATAGATGTCGATAGGATAGGCCTATCGCCCGGTTCAAATTCCGCCCCCGAGTAAAGGCTTATCCATTATTTCCTGTTAGGATTGGTTTTCCGGCTCCTCCCGAAGTTTACTTCCCCCAGAACAAGTCAAACTTCACTTTATTTTTTGTTGAGAAAGAAAACAGGCGTGTCCGAAAATTCTGATTTTTAACATCTTTTCTCATCATGCTTCTATTTGGTCAAAAGACCTACTAATATAATATAAATATCATTAGTCTTATTATCAGTATAATTATTTTTGTTATTTTTTAACCTCTTCAATTTCTTTCATCGGCCTACTATATTATTATTATTAGTATATCATACTATTATGATATATATATATATATATATATATGTGTGTGTGTGTGTGTGTGTAATAAAGCCACTAAGACGCAAGAAGTTACTGAGAGTGAGAGAATATGAGAAAAAGAAACCATTATTAAAGAGAGAGAACAGTAAAAGAACAAGAATTAAGAAGACAGAAGATAACGATTGACATTGCATTTACATTTTTGAAGATTAGAGTTGACTGGAAAGCAAGAAGCCGGAAGAGAGTTCGACAAGCGAGAAGTACGAGAGAACAAACTGTTAGCATAGAACTTACGGTTACGTCTAGCCATTTCAACTGTAAAATTATGAAACCTTGTTGCCACTCTAGTACTGCGCTTAAATTTATAAAGTCTAGGTATCAAAGAGGAAAAACCATCAGAACTATTACCAGGAAAATATTTATGGAAAAGTCACAGGAATGCTACGTTACGTTATATATGCAGATGCTAAATTAGACAAAAAGGTTGACAACAAACTGACAAAAGAAAATCAAGCCTTCGATAGACTAAATTAGTGGGTCTGAATCACTTAAAGTCTAAGGAAATATTCTAAAATAAAGAGTTATAAAGTCTTCATACTGGACATTCTACTTTATTGTATCGAATCTTGGGTCATCTAATACTGCTACCTACCCAGCTTTTGGACACTTCTACTATTGCTCAAAGTATGCTCAAGGTACGCTGGATTTACTTCATAGCAAACACTAAAGCCGTCAAGGGAGTCGGCACTTTCAACGTTGAAGAAATACTGCAAACGTCAAAGAAGGGCACCATGGAAGTGATACAGGAATTCCCTAAAAGGAACTCTCATCTTTTACGGATTCGACTACTGAAAATGGGGAGTGTAGGCTGATGACACGTTTATATGGTGTGATAAATTATTCCAGCCATTACTTAATCTAACTGTAGACTCAGAGCACAGTAGAGGAGTTCATGAGATAAACCCTAGTGTTAGCTCTGGTCACCAGTTTTGTATCTACAGCCATTACGGAAAAACCTGTCACGTGCTGGCCTTTTCCAGAATCCTGGTTTGGTAGGGCAAGCTATGATATGTATATATATATATATATATATATATAGATTATTTGCGTAGTTCTCGTCCCGACACACTTTCGAAAATGGCCAAATATTAGATTTTTTTCCGAAAAATCTTCTTGGTATGGCTGAGAAATTTTCAGTAGCCTTGGTACACTCTCACGACATGTACGTGTGTGTGTGTTTGTGTGTCTGTGTGTGTGTGTGTGTGTGTGTGTGTGTGTGCGTGTGTAAAAATTATATACATAATACACATATGTTTATACATATAAGTTAACACATATTGTAATGACAGGTCTAAAAAATGATACAAATTTCATAAACTCAATGTAACACAATCTTTTTCTTCGGAAAATAATTTCCTGAGAAATGAATAATAAGGCACTTCACTAAGCTCAGTTGGAAATGTTACATCTAAGCTATAGTTCAGTGGTATTTACAATGAAAATTAACCTATTAATACCAATCGTAAAATCCGGTATAAATTATAAAAATTAAAATAAAAGTTCTGTAAAATTATAGGTTTGCAAAAACATTTGGAATTAATTATAGGTTTCTGAAAATCCGGAATAAATTATGGGTATTAATCGATTTATGCCCACTTTTGGGAAGGTGGACATTAATGGGTTAATGTGAAGGAAGATAGATAGATAGATAGAGATAGATAGATAGATAGATAGATAGATAGATAGATAGATAGATATGTTGTGGTCCAGAATGATGATATTTTATCATTCTAAAACTAACCTTGTCATCTGTGATGATAGAAAAGATGGATATTTTATCATCCTAAGCCTCATCATTATAAAAACCACATTTCCGCCACAAGAGAGTCAGTAGAGAACAGTAGAGTAGACTAGGGTACCCGTACCAGTAATCAGTAGATAAGTGACAGTAGATAAGCAGTACAGAAACACACGTCTAGCCAGCGCCCCGAGAAGTTCGAAAACAGACGACATCTATAAGCCATCCTCAGAAACGAAATTCTCGGAACCAAACCAAGTAATCAATGACTTTCAAACAAAAGAGACACTGAAACATTTTTACACACACCATACGAATATTCTGTAATTCACATCACAAAAAGAAAATACAAATCCTTGTTATTTATGTCAACACGTGTTTCAAGTTTTTATTGTTGTTATTGTTGTACGTTTTATGCATTTTAATTTCTGTCATTAATATCAACACTTTTATAGATAGATAGATAGATAGATAGATAGATAATGATCGATTTTAATAACATGCTTAAACTTGATTAACAGAAAAGAGTAGTGAGTTAGTTAACATTTCCGTATTTATTTCTGTCAACATCAGAAGTGTTTTTTGTTGTTTTTTTTAAAAAAATTATGGTTAAATAAAATAAAATCCGACCTTCTTTGTTTTTTCTTGTTTGTTTTATTATTTTATTTAATGAGTGATTAAACGCCACAAAATATTTTTATAAATGTTTCCTTGTTTTCGTACGAATGAATTTAGGTTGTTGATTTTTTTATAATGATCTGTTCAAGAAATTACAAATTTTCTGGATTTATCTTAGCACCATCATCAACTTTGGAGGGACTTATAATTTTACTGTCTAAAATACTAGCCTAAAATTTTACTCCGCTTCTCCAACCACCAGATCGTTACAATGTATCTCACTAAATTTACTGTTCAGAAATAAGTTTTCACATACTTCTTCGCCAAAATTATGTTTTATGCTGATGCTTATTTAAAGGTGGTAGTTTCCTGCCTTGAGCTAACTTTCTTAAACTTCTGTCTTTTCTCGCTGTTTACATTTTGTAACACCATCTTTAAATGATGAAAATCCATTTTTCTTGCTTATTTTAATTTTTCAAAGATATTTCATGTGATATTATTAAAGTCACTCTTTTTTTATTACTCTTACTCGTTTTACTTTCTTTTTTGCTTGTTCCGTGGTATTTGTTAAACTGTTTCCCAATTTCCAAAGTTGTGTTCTCATCAATTCTCAATAGTTTGTTTCAATTTTGAGTTTATATCTTTTTTGAAACCGTGGCAATCTTTATATATTTAAAATTAAAATAACTATTATATATATATATATATATATATATATATATATATATATATATATATATATATATATATATATATATATATATATATATATATATATATATATATATATATATATATATATATATATACATATATATATATATATATATATATATATATATATATTTATATATATATATACATACATATATATATATATATATATATATACATACATATATATATTTTTATATATATATATACATACATATATATATATATATATATATATATATATATATATATATATATATATATATATATACATACATATATATATATATATATATATATATATATATATATATATATATATATATATATATATATATTTATATATATATATATATATATATATATATATATATATATATATATATACATATATATATATATATGTTTATATATATATATATATATATATATATATATATATATATATATATATACATACATATATATATATATAATTATTTAAAAAATATGATTCCAAATCGCTACATAAGAGGTCTCATGTTTCAAAACTAGAGCCAAAAACTTCATTGTAATCCTTTAAATTAAATTGAGTTGAAAGTAAAATGGGCTCCGTTCCATCCTCAAGCGAAATTTTTGTTGGAATAACGTATATCTGAAATTTACTTGTTTTAAAATTGAAATCAAAATCCCCATGGTAACAGCTATGGTGAATTTTCTAAATTGGGTAGGCGAGTGTAGGGTGTTTATATTAAGTAGCGGTATATAGATACTTTCAAGGTGTCAAGTCGGGGAAAGGTGGGGGTGTCAAAAATGAAACGGAAGATGTATTGGCCATCGTCTAGTTTGCTTGTCTATGGAGATATATTTATTTATTTTATTTTATTATGAAAGGGAATTGTGCATATAAAAAAAAGAAAAACTTTCGTAACGTTTGTTTTTTGACGACTTCATAAATGGTTATCTTATATGTAAGGTATTTAAACTAATAATTTAGGCTATGGATTATGAAGTGTGTTATGTAGTATGCATGTTTGTAGTTAATTATTCCTACTATGAATCTGATGATTGGGCTATTTGTTTAACAAATAGCCCAATCATCAAATATTTAATAAATAGCCCAATCATATATATATATATATATATATATATATATATATATATATATATATATATATATATATATATATATATATATATATATATATATATATATATATATATATATATATATATATATATATATATATATATATATATATATATATATATATATATATATATATATATATATATATATATATATATATATATATATATATATATATATATATATATATATATATATATATATATATACATATATATATATATATATATATATATATATACATATATATATACATATATATATATATATACATACATATATATATACATACATATATATATATATATATATATATATATATATATATATATATATATATATACATATATATATATACATATATATATATATATATATATATATATATATATATATATACCATATATATATGATATAACGGATATAAGAGACCCTGATATAAGAGAAACCCGGATATAAGACTTTTCTCTGGTCCCAAATTAGAGCCTGTGTTAATGTATATAAAATAGACCAAACCCGGATATAAAAGACAAACCCGGATATAAGAGACTTCTTTTCCGGTCCCGACAACTCTTATATCAGGTTACTGTTATATATATATATATATATATATATATATATATATATATATATATATATATATGTATGTGTGTGTATATGTATGTATGTATGTATAATTACAATTTGATAAACAATTCCTGAGTTGCATACTAAAGTTTCACACCAGCAAATATTTTGTTGCAAATATTTCTAGTAAAATTATAAACAAAAATATATTATAAACTAAAATTTACATAGATAGATAGATAGATAGATAGATAGATAGATAGGTAGTGCTGAAAAATTCTTGTCCTGACTCAAAAATCTTATGCTGATGCTATGTCATTTTGTCTCATTTTGAGAATTGAGTCAGGCCGAGAACTTTTCCGTATTCCCTCTTACACACACATACCCCCATATATATATATATATATATATATATATATATATATATATATATATATATAAAAAAACAGGATCTGAAAAAATTTCAACTATGTAAAAAATAATGTTTATGAATTTTCCTGTCCTCTAGGAGACTACTTCCCAATTATCATCAAAAGACAAAATAACATTAAACTCTTACATCGGTTGCACATGTAAAACATTCTCTCGTAGGTGGACTTGTCACCTATCGATCAGCACAGCACTAACAACGGAAACACAGCTATCAGCAAAACACAAATAGTCAATTATACACAAATACAATCCAAATACCAATATAAGGAAAAATTAAAACTACTATTTAACAAAATAAACAACCTAGATTAAATAAAATATCTTCCTTACATGAGACGGTATCTTGAAGTATGCATAAAATATTTAATATACATAAAATATATAAATATACAAAAAATGAATAATATTTATGCATTCATTTTTCTTTTGAATGTTACACATGACGTCACCTTGGACTATTTTAAACTTTCAGCTCTCTATAAAATACTAGGATGTACCCAGCAGAATCTTTTCTGCTGCATGGCTGACATATAGTTCTTAGCAATGACTGAGAAGATCGAAAGTACTTGAACAAAAACAACAGAACAAACATTGACTTCGGACAGTTTACCAACAATTTCGATCACAATATATATCTTCTTCGAAAAATGAAAAAGTACAATTATAAAAAATATATATAAACAGACCTGGTCGGTTAAATTTAATCAGACTTGATAGGTTTGACAACTGTTACTCTACAGAGAAACAATCTGATATATACTAAATTAAGCTTAATCCGACACAAGGCCAAGAGCGTAGGTTATCCACTGAGTCCCTTACGAAACGAACATACCAACAACTGCTCTACGGCTAGGTGTCCTGGTAATTACTAAATTATTATGGCATCAAGCCACAAGTGTAGAAATCAAGTTAGAATCGTACTTCTTCCAGTTGTTATCGTCTGCGAACCGAACTTGTTATCCATTCCTCCACAGCAAAGCATCTTTGAGCCCTTCGATGTGGTGTAATGGTTAGCCAGATTGTCTCGACATATCAATTACTACTGAGTAGTAAGTTCGATCCTCACTAAGTGTTCCATATTTTCAGCTTTGTGCTTCGCTTAGAAAATCACCACAGTGCAACATTTTAATATTTACTGACTGTCATTTGGTACAATACCATATCATAACCATAGAGAGCTTATTGAGAATTGAATTCACTAAAATGGTAATATGCTCTGTGAGACTAGTTTGCTTGACGGCGAAGGAAACCCACCATCGTATGCAATTTTATATTAAATGATATAATCAAGAGTTTTCTCTTTAAGACGGATTTTCAATTTTCAGACGAGACAGGGAATAAGATGAAGCATATCTGATCCCTGGACATTCCATCTCTGAGACAGGACATATTACCATAGGGAGTAGGGTCTTTGGTCAAACCTTGACAGGCGTCAATTTTATAAACTTATTTCCACTAGTTCTGACCATCACATCTAAAACCTGTATACTGGGACAAATCATCTCCCATTTCATTTGTATTCCATTAGTAAAGAGGAAGTTCCATTCAGACAGCTTTTTCTCATTAACTACTACTTTGCTGAACAGCATCCCGAAAAGATAATTCTTCGATTGCTAGAAATTTAACCTCTTTAAGTCTAGAGTCAACCATTATCGTTCCTAAATATCCTCTTAATCTGAACTTCGTACCTCCTCTTCTTACGTTCATGCAACCTCATTCAGTAACCCTCTACACTGAGTGGCTCTTAGGTCTTGTATTATTAAAAAAAATGGCATTTTTGTCATATGATTGTGTGGTCCCTAATATTAAAAGATCATGTGTCATATTTGTCCTTATATGGAGACAGATAAATAACGATTCTTGTTGAAGGTCATGTGACAGCAAGTGCTCTCAATATTTTTGCTACAGAGACAGATGTGTGTGTTTCTGACTAACATAAGCTCCTACCATCATTACAGTAATCACCATTTCAACTGAAAGCCAAATCTGGGGACCTATTTTGACAAGAGGGGTTGAGGCCATGATATGTACATCTTTAATTTTGTAGTTCTGTGTCAAATCATTTGTAAAATCCATTCCCGGATTTTCTCCTTGAAAATTAAAAAAAAAGAAGATATTGATGCCCACAAATAATACAAATTAAGGAGAGAAAAATGAAAACGAATATATCATTCATTTTAAACGGCATTATAAACAAACCAGGGTCTAATATTATAGTGGTTGTTGATGCTAAAACACAAAATTCGACGGGCATAGATCGTGGCTTCACTTGGCTTAACGAAATCTTCAACTGACTGTGAAATCTCTTTTCACCCTCAGCCCGTCCATGTTTCGTGTCCAGCTGGCCGCGGTGACGACGTAGCAGTCACCCACAAGCTGGTCGGCTCGCTACCCAGTCTCGGTCCCCACAAAGGGTGCACAGAGATTGTCACTTATTCAATTGTTTTCTTTAAAATACAAGATTATTTATTGTCACACCATCTGCTAGAGCGGCCCGCAAAGTTGCCTGTTAATTGTGATTCAGTATACGCGGTAACGGGGCGTACACTAATTCTTGTTGGCCCTTCAAATGAAGCATGGATACCTAATGATCCCATAATTTCTGGATTGCTATGAAATGATACCATTCGTGTTCTCATTATGATGTGATGACTTACGTACTCAGTTATAAGTGGTGTCAGGAGCTTAGAGAGAAATGTAGAGGATAGTGAGAGAGAAAGACAGAAACAGAAAATAGAATAAGGGAGAGTTAGACAGAAAAGAACTCTCTCGGACTCTACTTTTTTCTGTTACTACTACTAGTAGTACAGCCCCCTTCCACCGTCCTTAGCTTACGTCTTTCGTTCATTTCTATAGTAGAATGCTGGTCATTAAAAAATATGTAATCAATCAAAGCTGCTAAAAACTTCTACAAGAAAGAACGTGAAGAATATTTGAAAAATACGATAAAATAGATAAAACTAAAGTCTGGAAATAAAATTGGAAAGAAATTGATCTCATTATATGTTTCCATTATTCAATGATATGTAAGCCGAAAGTACTGCGTTTCATTGGAGGATGAAATGCTTTTTCTTGCACTATATACAATATTTGTAATGTATGTCTACGAAAATATCCTGCGCCATTTATTTGTCATTAGACATGCATAAAAATGTGTGTGCCTCACTTGGGTGTCTTTTCGCCAATATTTATTACCGGCTTCAGGAGAATTAATTCTATCTCATCTAATGGTTAGGATTTTTCATAGCGAAATTGTTAGTTCGTACACTGACAAAATCCATAATAGCTGTGGCATCTAGTGAAAACCGAGCTCCCTTAGTAGTATCACCTGATAAAAACTGTTCTACGGTATGTGTCACTGTTTCTGTAGATATTAATACAAAGGTAAAAAGAGCTATATTTTCACAGAAGATTTAGTCTTGCACCAGGTCACAAGAGTGAGACACCTGTAAGGATCAAACGCACTACAGTAAGTAAATTAAATAAACTAAGCAAAAAGTTCCCATACAATGAAAACAAGCAAGACTGTAATTAACTCATTCTTTCATGTCCATTCCCTTCTCCCTCTGCTTCTGATTTTCCATCCTTATCTTTAAATATATCTTTATTATGTACTCATTGGCGTCCAGAATCTTAACAACATAAGATATGCAGATGACATAGTGTTGATAGCAGATACAGAAAAGAAACTACAAGAACTCCTACAAAAGATAAAAGGAAAACAAGAAGAAAGGACCAAACATCAATTAAAAGAATAACATGGTTGTTATTAGAAGGAACAGCCTATCAGAAGATGGAAATAACGATACTGAAATCCGAATTTTGTTAGAAATAAATAAAAGAATACTGAAAAGTTGCATAATATTAATTCTCCTACATTATTTACATTATTCGGACTATTGTCCTCATCTTTGTCGCCATATTTATCACAACGTTTCGGCCGTTGTACGCTCCGGCCTTCTTCAGGTGGTTGGAATTTCGAACTGAAGCCTTTATTTCGCTCACTGGAGTAGACTGTTCTAGTTCCACATGCCATGTTTGATGGATGTCAGTTATCAGTTATCTCCTGCTAATTTCCCTCTGAAAACTTTCGGCCGAAACGTTGTGATAAATATGGCAACAAAGATGAGGACAATAGTCCGAATAATGTAAATAATGTACATAATACCTCATCTCAGAAATATAGACAGAGTAATTCTCCTATATGGCAGCGAATGCTGGACAATCTCCTCACAGATGAATCCAGAGACTTGAAGCAACAGAAATGTGGTTCTAAATAAGGATACAGAGAATACCATAGACTGAACATGTGAGCAACGACGAGGATAAAATGAAAACAAAAAGGACGCTTTAAAGAAACAGTTGAACTTTTTAGGGCACTTAATGAGGAAAGATGGCTTAGAAAATTTGATACTCGCATATTGAAGTCAAGAGAGACAGAGGAAAACAATGCATAACCTACCTAGTGAGCTTGAGTAAATGAATGGCAGAGCTGTGTTTAGAAGAGATAACAAAAGACAAAATTTATTAAGAGGTACAAAGGACAGGAAAAGCCATGATCGCCAACGTCCTGAAGGGACACGGCACAAAGAAAAAGAAGACTTTTAAATATATCTTCATTCAAGTAGTATTTTCTGACCATAGAAGTGAATCTAGTTACAGCAAATTTCCTCGAATTTCTAATACTGTTCTACGGATTCTCGTTGACGTCTAAAATTCCTGTAGTTGGAATAGACATAATAGTCATTACTTATCTAGTCTATTTTGATCATTCCCAAATCTCCAACGAACATGTATACAACCGCCATCTTAACATTCTCATTTTTAGCAGTTCTCC